TAGTTTTCACCAAAATCTAGACTGGGGCCTGGGTCTAAGTCTTAAGAAGTAGTCTAAGCCCAGGGCTTGTGGCTCACATCTGTATTCCTAGCTACTTGTGAGGCTGAGATCAGGAGGATTGTGACTCAACCAATAGCTGGGCGTGGTAGCAGTGGTATGTATGTGCCTGCCATCCCAACTATGGGAGGCTGAGATCTGGAGAACCATGGTTCCAGGCCAACCTGCACAAAAAAAGTTTGTGAGACCCTATCTCAATGGAAAAGAGCCGGGGCGACAGCAGGAAGTATAAAAAAGGAGGATCATTGTCCACGCAGGCCAAAAGCTCGAAACTATCTTCAAAGTAACCAGAGCAAAAACAAAAAGTGTGGGGGGGTGGCTGGTGATATGACTCAAGAGGTAGAGCACTTGCTTAACAAGTATGAAGCCCTGAGTTCAAACTCCAATACCACCAAAAAAGAAGCCAGACTTTCTTAAAAATCCAAACATAGAGCTGCCATATGATCCAGCAATCCCACTCCTGAGGATACACCCAAAGGAATGCAACTCAGGTTATTCCAAAAGCACCTGCACACCCATGTTTATCGCAGCACTATTCACAATAGCCAAGTTATGGAAACAGCCAAGATGCCCCACCACTGATGAATGGATTAAGAAAATGTGGTATCTATACATAATGGAATTTTATGCAGCCATGAAGAAGAATGAAATCTTATCATTTGTAGTTAAATGGATGGAACTGGAGAACATCATTCTGAGCGAGTTTAGCCAGGCTCAGAAAACCAAAAATCATATGTTCTCCCTTATGCAGACATTAGATCTAGGGCAAATACAGCAATGTGGTTGGACTTGGGTCACATGACAAGGGAAGAGCACATACGGGACATGTGGGAATAGGTAGAAAGCCCAAAACATGAAAGCGTTTGATGTCCCCACTCCAGAGGAACTAATACAGAAACCTTAAAGTGACAGAGGTCAACAAGAGAAGGGGATCAGGAACCAGTGTAAAGATCAGTTAGAGATGAATCAACTTGGGTTGTAACACATTTGTACATGGAAGCAATGCTAGGAATCTCTCTGTATAGCTATCCTTAACTAGCAAAAACGCTTTGTCTTCCTTATTATGCTTGTGTTTTCTCTTCAACAAAAATTAGAGATAAGGGCAGAACAGGTTCTGCCTGGAAGCAAAGGGAGGTGGGGAGGAGAGGATGGGGAGGGGGCAGGGGGTAAAAATGACCCAGACAATGTATGCACATGTGAATAAATGAATAATAAAAAAACGAAGCCGGGCTAATGCTCCTTGACAGGGCCCTTTGTACTTCCTTGTGCTGAAGGCCCAGAATTAGCTTCCCTTATGGGGAGGAGGGCAAAAGCCCTAGGAGATGGAATGCAATATGGAACAGAGGAGCCACCTCAGCCACCTGGACACCTGGATCATTGATTTGATACTGCTCCATGAGAAAGAAATTAATTCTGGAGTCCAGGTAGGGGTAAGGGGGAGAAGGAAAGAATCTTTTTCTTAGAACTTTTTTACTTTGATTAATATACATGACAAATGAGAACAGCTTTAAAAAGGCAGACACTTAGAATGAGTCCACAATATAAAAGTTCAACTCTCATTTACAAGACATACTTCAAACACAATTATCTGGAATGGCTGAAAATAAAGAAATATCTGGGATTGGAAGTGTGGCTCAAGTGGCAGAGCTCTCCTGCTTAGCAAGTACACGGTCCTTAGTTCAAACCCCAGGACCCCCCCCTCCAAAAAAAGACCAAATAATAAAGAAGTAGAGAATTATACTGTGCAACCACAAACATAAGGGAAACCGTTGTACCATACAAAACAGAATTCAAGGTGAAAAAAAAACCAATGGATAGGTGTCTTTGTCTGGGTGGACTGCTGTAACAGTTTTGGAGTGGAGGCTAAGGCTCTGAAAGGTTTGGCATCTGGTGAAGGCCTGCTTCCTCACAGACTGTCTTATTCTCTTCTGATCTCACATAGTAGAAGAGGATGAACTTATAAGGCACCAATCCCATTCATGAAGGATCTATCTCTATGACCTAATTCAAAGTCTCTCCTTCCTACCGCCATCACCTTGGAAGTGAGGATTTCAATGTATGGATTTTGGGAAGACATACACATTCAGACCACAGGCAAACATGTAATGAATGAACTTAAATAGGCAAACTGGGTTATAACTCTTGCTCTGATTTATACACCAGCACCTTAGGCAAATTGCTTTATTTTTTTCCAGTTTCTTGTTCCTACAAAAAGTGACACTAATACTAATATACTTTTTGCAGAATTGTGAGAATGAATGAAACACTGTTTTTCCAGAGTCATAAAAATATATCTCAAGCTATATAAAATAATTCTTTCAACAAACATTTACTGAGCACCTGCCATGTCATCTGGTAGGTTATATGTAAAACTGAGTTCAATGAAGGCATTATGATGGAGGATGAGGAGAGACGATATTTAGTCATTTAGCACAGACAGAATGGCCTCTATAAGTTGCAACAGGGCCAGGGATGATTTCATAAGGAAAAGTGAGTTCTAGGGTGAATTGTGAAACATGAGTAGATATCTGGCCAGGCTGAGTAAGAGGAAGGACATTGCATGAGGGGACGGCATAAAAATAAGTGGCCTGATAGGGGATGCATGTAAGGAACTCAAGAGTGTTTGATGGGGCCGGGTGGTGGCTCACACCTGTAATCCTAGCTACTCAGGAGGCAGAGATCAGGAGGATTGCAGTTCAAAGCCAGCCCCTGGCAAATAGTTCATCAGACCCTATCTCAAAAACACCCAACACAAAACAAAGCTGGCAGAGAAGCTCAAGCAGTAGAGTGCCTGCCTAGTAAGCATGAGGCCCTGAGTTAAAAAAATCAATCAATCAGTCATCAATCAAAAAGAGTGTTTGATGGGACTGGAGAAGTAGGCATTGGCTACTTAGCCAGGTGCCAGTGACTCACACTTGTAATCCTAGCTACTTGGGAGGCTGAGATCTGGAGGATCAGGGTTCAAGGCCAATCCAGGCAAATCCTTCCCCAGACCATCATCTCCAAAATAACTAGAGCAAAATTGACTCAAGTGGTAGAATGCTTTCATTGCAAGTGGGAAAACTGAGTTCAAACTCCAATCCCATTGAAAAAAAAAAAAGCCAAAAACCCTGCAGGCAATGGTGAGCCACTGGCAGCAATACTAAAATGGAAAGCAGTACAGAGTTTCAGTAGCTTGAAGCAGGGGACCTGAAACCAGTCAAGAGTGGTGGGAAGGTGACTGACAGGAACCATGAGGAGGGGTGCAGGATGCTAGAAAGGAGGAGCCTGGGATCATTTTCATATTTCTCCTTTGCATTACTAAGTGAATTGTGGAGATGTTTACTGAGAATGAGACTGGAGAGAAAGCCAACTGTCAGGAAAGTTCATCTTTTAGTCAGTCAGGTTGAGTTTAAGGCACTGGAGAACATCAGAGTAGAGATTTCTGGTTATTTGCAGTTGGCTTCACCAAACTGGAGATTTGTGACTGGGATGGGATTTCATGAGTTATCAGCACCGGGTTGGTGGTTGAAATTGAGGGGAGGGTCTGAAAGACTACTCACCCACTCCCTCCCTAATTTAGAAACAGTCAAGGACAAACTACTTTGGTTCCCCTGTGGGTGAGAGGCAGTTAAATAAGAAATGGCCAGACAACATGGAGGGCCGAGTGTCAGGGAGCAAATGTAAAGGAAAGATTCAGGAATAAAAGTCTAGTCAGCAATCACAAATGCTGCAGACAGGCCAAGACGGGACTCTTCACGGCTATTAGGTGAGCTTTGACAGCATAACCTCAGTGGACACAGAAATCAGTTTGCAAGGTTCCGAAGAATGACATGGGGACAGACTGGATCAAGTAAATGTTTTTGATTTTTCAGTTTCAAAAATATGTGAATGTATGTGACACGATTAAGAGCCCTAGAAGATGCTGATAGAAGCCTGAAAGTCCAGGTCACTGGACAGTTAGTCACTGTTGGATTGGAACTAGTGCCAACCAGATGATCCCGGACGCTATTTGCCATGTCTTTTCCTTAGAGGGCAGGGTGGAGGAGTGGTGACCTGCCACTTGAGCGCTCACTGCCCCTGCCCTTAATTTGAGTGCAGTGCTAAAACCGAACGGCAGATCAGATCCGCTCCGGAGCGGGTTTTCCTTCCACGAAACCGTTAGCCATTAAAACCCAATGGAAGCGGCACTCGGTCAAGCATACCCTCGCTCGCAGCTTGCCAACCTCACGGTCCCCGCGCGGCTTGCTCTGGAACCGCTTTGGGGTGCGAAGCGCTGGCCCACCGGGCTGGAAGGCAGCTGACTCTGGGCAGTGGGATTCCGTTCCAGCCCCAAAACCAGCACCGGCACCGGCAGCGGGGAGCGCGCGCGGCCAGGTTTTGGAGAGAGGCGGGCGCGGGCTGCAGGCGCCGGGAAAGCGCGAGAGGGGCGCTGGGCGGCGTCTCCTGGGGACTCGCGGCCACTGCCACTTGGGTCGCCAGCGCAGCAGTCACCGAGCCCGGGTTTTCCCCGAGCGCCCGGCCTCTCCGCGCGGCCGCCCGCTGCCCGTGACCACCGGGGTGGCCGCTTTCGGTTCCGCGCCTTATAAGGCCTGCCAGGGGGGTCACGTGCGTCCCGGGCCGCCTGCCGGGAGGAGGGGGCGGCGGGGGGGAGGGGCGGGAAGCGAAGAGGAAAAGGGGAGGGAGCCGGGGGCGGAGGAAGGAGCGAGGGGCGGATTCTACGGCCGTGGGAGGCGGCGGCTCCGGGGAGCGGGACCGAGGAGGAGAAGGAGGAGGCGGCGGCGGACGGAGGGACCGGCGTGGGGGCGGGAGAGCGCGGCGCGGCGGAAGCCCAAGACTGCGCGAGGGCCGGTGGTGGCCCTGGGCGGGAGCCGGGCGGCGGCGGCGCCGAGCGGGACCGCGGCGAGGGAGGTGTATCCAGCGGCGCCGGCGGCGGCGGCGGCGGCGGCGGGGCCCGGGTCCCTGCGCCCCGGGCGGCCAGCGGGCGCGGGCGGGCGCGATGGAGCCGCAGCACGTGCGCCCCGCGCCCGGAGCCCGCAGCCCAGCCCGGGAGGAACCGGTGGGTACTGCGCCCGCGCCCACCCCTTCCCGCTTGTCCTCCGTTCCCCCCGCCTCGGCCGGGTTCCGTTCAGGAAATGGCCCGGGATGAGGTCCCCAGCTGCTTCCCAGCCGGGGCAGCGCTTCCTCCGCCAAGCCCGGCTCCTCGTGCGCCGCCCGGAGCGTCTTTGTCCGGCGGACTGAAGCTGTCCCCGAGGGGCCGCTAGCGACGATCCTTAGAGGACAGTCCCCTTGCTTCGTGGACTTTTCAACTTTTCACTCGATTTCCGAGCGTGGAGTGCAGGCAGGGGAAGAGGAGAAACCTGGCTGTGCGGTCAGCGTGTGGGGCCGGGAGGAGACTGGTGTCACCTCTGGAGACCGCGCCCCGGCGCTCACCTGGGCGCGCGGGTTCCTAAGGGAGGCTGGTGGCTGCGTGACGCCCAGAGCCACGCCCCCGACCCCTGGCGGCCACTGCAGTCCCGGCCTTTTGCTGGGGTCCCGGGGTTTTGCAAGGAAGGAGGCAAGAAGCTTATTTCGCTCTCGCCTGGGATTTCGCTGCACACGCCACGCGGAGGTTGAGTAATTTTAGGGGCCGAGAGTAAGTGTGTGCGTGTGTCGTGTGTGTGTGTGTGTGTGTGTGTGTGTGTGTATCAGGATGAGGGTACGGGGGTCTTTAGACTTGTTCTCCCAAACTCCTTCAACTTATTCTTCCAACAATTAAGAGTCTCTAGGGATTCTCCCCAGGAATCCCCGTCCCACTCAGATCTCTGTAACCCCGCGTGGGCTGGCATCGGATTTTGGCTGTCCACGCCCTGCCCGGATATTTGCTGCTCCGTCTTGGTTGCAATTCTGAACGGGTCTGAGAAGCCCTGTCCGGTATTTCTGGCCTCATCCGTGCTACGCTGTAGGAGTTCGAATGCTGTTCTCCCAGGGACTCCCGGGTCTGCTCGGGCCGGCCCTCTGCCTGTCGAGAGCTCCTAGGTCAGGTGCCAGGGTTGCTTCTCCTTTCTTTTCTAACATGCACGCTCCTGGCTCCTTTGCCCAGGCTGCGTTTCTCTGCCTCCAGTTTCCTGGCCTTTAAGAAGTGGCCTTGGACTTTGATCCATCTGCATCTGCAGCTGCTTTTCCTTTTGTGAATTTGAACATGTTACGTCGCGTCTACTTGTATTTCTACTATTATGTTATCACTGGAGAGTTAAGTTATTGTAGAAATTAAAAAGACAATTCAGTTTTGACGTTTATGTCAAAGATTATTGGCAATGAAATACAGTGGCCCGTTTGGATGAAGCCTTTTCTGAACCTGCACACTTTAAGCCAACACAGTCACAGCGGGAAACACGCGGTTCTTGAGTGTTTTCCTTTAGGTTGCTGATGCCAGAACTACTTTGTGCCTAGAAAATTAGAGAAGCCGTCCCCTCTTTACTTCTCAAAAGTAGCAAGAGCAAAAGTGCTCATTTATTTTCTACAGAAAATATTCAGTCCCAGTATCATCACTGGAGCTTTAAAACGAGAGCCCCGGTGGAAAAGTGTGAGCAACTGTGACACTTTATTCCGACTGAAGAACTCTTTTTAAGAATTAGATGTATTTAATTTTATTTGCTCAGCAGATGTTTTTATCCAGCACCTATTATATTCCCCAGTGGTTGGGCAGCTGTTAGCAACACAAATTATTGTCCTCAGAAAATTTACATTCTTTTGTGTGTGTGTGTGTGTGTGTGTGTGTGTGTACTGGGGTTTGAACTGAGGGCCTACACCTTGAGCCACTCCACTAGCCTTTTTTATGTGATTTTTTTTTTTTTTTTAAATAGGATCTTAGGAACTATTTGCCCCAGCTGGCTTCGAACTGCCATTCTCCTGATCTCTGCCTCCTGAGTAGCTACAATTTCAGGCGGTGAGCCACCCACTGGGCTCAGAAAGCTTACATTCTTAACTAAACAGAATGCTGGTTTCATAGATTGCAATGGCTTACATTCAGATAGTCAAAAAACAAAACAAAACAAAACAAAACAAAACGTTCAGAGAGCTCAGGCATGTGGCCTAAAATGATGTTCTGTTCCCTATTTCCCCCCCAGTGCTGGGGTTCAAACCCAGGGCCTTGTACATGCCAGACAAGCACTCTATTACTGAGCTATATCCCCAGCAAAATAATATTTCTGAGAAGTGATTTTATTTGAAACCCTGTTGTCATGTATCTAATGAACACAAAATCTTTTTAAAAAGTCATAAGCAGAATTCTCATTTAAGTTCTTCAGAATGACCAGTTGCCCAAATTACTAAAGAGTTGCAGATACAAGAAAAAAGAGTGTGTTGGGGCGAAGAGTGTTTAAATGTTAAGCATGTCAGGCATGTGGAGCAGAGGGGGATCTTCAGCTTAATCTAAATATGCTTTGAAGGAGCACAAATCCCACAAAATCGCGTTCTTGACCTTTGTTTGGGTCAGGGATCCCTTTAAGACCGATTGAAGTTATGGAATCTCTTTCCTTTGAAAATGCACCTGTGTGGCATGCAGTCATGTATTGCTTAACTGATGAGACAAGTTCTAGAAATGTGTTTGGTGGTTTTGTCACTGTATGAACATCATAAAGTGTACTTATACAAACTAATGTGGCTCCGACATCACTGCCAATAGAATTTTGTTTTTCTTTCCTTTTTTAGTGATACTAGGCACTCTCCCACTTGAGCTACACTCCAGCTTATTGCTGGGATAATCTTATGGAACCACCATCTTACACACACACACACACACACACACACACACACACACTCTTTAACACAACTTCAAGGGAAACACAGGTTTCCTGAAGACCAGTCTGTGAACTAAGATCTCAAGTTGCGAATACCTGCTTTCATTTGGACTCCATTTCTAAGTTCTTTAAAACCTTTTTCTAAATTCAATTATAGGCAGTTTAATACTTTGCCATAAAACTATGCTGATTTGCATTTATAAAAAGGAATATTCAGTTTTGAATAAATGACATTAACATTACGCAGTCCTATTGCATTACCTCCTATGGCATAAGATAGTGTATATGTAAGAATTACTCCCATTCTTTTTTGACAGAACATGACCATCTAAAACATGGTGTTATGACAGAAGAATAAGTGATTTGGGAATTGGTGCTGGCTAGATGGAAAGAAAACAAATGGTGTTTATTTAAAATGCACCCAGTTTTGGAGCTGAGAGCTGGTGGCTGGGACTTCATTCTTGTGTTTGGGGGTGAAATGACGTTGTTATTTAAGTGGGAGATTTGAAACTCTTAGCCTTTTCATTACTCTGGCTAGGGCAATGGGCCTAAAGAAGATAAATGTTAGCGTTTAAGTTTCTGTGTATTTCCTTCAATGCTAACTTTGGAATGTAATCAAGTGTCAGTGGAAATAGAAGCATTATGTAAATTTCTAATCAATTAAAAAGTATTTTGGGGCTGGGGATGTAGCTCAGTGGTAAAGAGCTTGGGTAGCATGTGTGAAGCCCAGGATTCGATCCCCAGGACCAACAAAACCAAAAAAAGTATTTTGGTGATGGATATGGGTAGGTTAGAAGATAGTTAACCAGGCAGTCCTTATTGTAGCAGTGGGAAGGGATAGGTAGGTAGAATTCTAGTTGAAACTTTAAAAATGTAGTAGTACTTGCAGTTTTTAGTGGAGGGATGCTAGAACACACTTAACTTACTAAAACTTCTTTTTATTTCCTAGTGACTTAATACCAAATTAACTTTTGTAAAACTATTCAGAATTAATGGAAAGATAGGAAAGGAAGGGTTTCAAAAGAAAAGGGGTCAAAATATAAATAGGTTATAAATATATGAGTTGTGCTTCAATGATGAAAGATTTTTGCCTTAGGTGCAAGGATAATGATAGATATGTGCAGTTGATACTATGATTGATCTCAAATCTTTTTTTTTTTTTCATTCAGGTAGCAACTAAGGAAATTTTACTGGATGAAGTTTGTTTTCTTTTTTCTTTTTTGGCACTGGGGTTTGAACTCGGCCTCAGGCTTGCTAGGTAGATGCTCTACCACTTGAGCCATTCTACCAACCCTCTTTTGTGTTGGGTATTTTTGAGATAGGATCTCCAGAACTGTTTCCTCGGGGCTGGCTTCAGTCTGCCTCCTGAACAGTTAGGATTACAGGCGTGAACCACTGGTGCCTGGCTGGGGAAAGCTTTTTTATTTTTATCTTTTTTCCTCCCACCCCATGTCTTCCTATTCTCAATCCAGACCAGACACAGGGCCTGGGCTGTATATATGGGGTAGATTTACTTTTGCCTCCTCTTCCTCTACATTCAGCGTAAGAACACAGATTGTGGTAAGCACCGGAAGGCCTAGGGTAAAGTTTTGAATGTTAAATTATGATACATAACAAATAATGTGCTATATAAATAGTTTTAAAATTCTAGTGAAAGCAGTGTTCTTGGCCTTACTTGCCTAACTTTCAGTTTTCCTTAGGTATAAGGAATGTGAGTCCTAGAACATAACTGTTTTTAAAGTGCCTACTTGAGTTCTTTCAAGATGCAGCATTCTGCATGCTTATGTTATAATTAATGTAAAACAATGGAACATAGATGACTGAAATGTTGCAAGGGCATATTAATCCTATTTTGTTATTAGTAGCCATCCATAAGAATATAATTCAGAATACCTCTAGGTAATAATACTAATATTCATAAGGTTGGTATCAGCATGATATTTGGCTGTGACTTAAGCATCTTTGATATAATTGATTTTTTAAAATGGGGCAGGACATCTTATCAAGTAGAAGCCAAATTAATGGACATCTTCACCTATATCCATTTCATTCTAAGTGTGTCTGCATAGCATATGTCCAAGTTTTTTTATTTTCCTGGTTCTGGGGTTTGAACTCAGGGCCTTGTGCCAGCTAGGCAGGTGCTCTACTACTTGAACAACATGCAAGTTTTTAATAGTGTGCTTGTGATATGTTCTACCCAGAACTTTGAAAGTAACAATTACAAATATGTAAAAAGCATCTAAGAAATTACTTGAAAATCTGAAAACACCAAGTAAGGAAAAGGTCAAGGAAATGTAAGTCAAATAAACAAGGTAATATACCACATATTTAAAATTTGTTTCAGTTGCCATTTTGAGTGAATTAAAATAATTGAAAATATTGAGATCTTGACATTACTATTAATATTTTTTAGTGGGCCTGGGGTTTGAACTCAGGGCTTTGTACTTGCAGACCAGGGGTTCTACAACTTGATCACAACTCCAATCCATTTTGCTTTGGTTACTTTTGGAAATGGGGTCTCTCAAACTAATAACCTCGGTTGGCTTTGATCTTCCAGATCTCACCCTCTCAAATAGCTAGAATTGTAGGCTTGAGCCACTGGCACCAGGTAGGCATTGCTATTAATATTTTTAAGAGAGGTGAAGTGCATTGCAGGTAGTCAGTATACAGATTGGAAATTCATTCTTGAAACATAGAATTTACAACTAACATCTGAGAAGTAGCTAGTAGGTTGTGTAACTTTAAATTAGGGGCTCTTTGAAACAGTATGTCAGAAGAGATGGTTGAACCAAAGAGGTTTTTTCATGGGCTGCCTTTTGTGGGAAGTGAGGTGGCTCGCCTTCATTTGCATATTTTCATCCTGAGTTTCTTGTGTGCTAGAGATAATGGCAAGCAGCAGTCATTCATACAGCATAAGCAGGCTAAAACTGCCTTAGCTTTCAAAGTCAACCAAGTTTTAGAACTTGCTACAGGAGTCTTTGAAGAGCAGAGCTGGCTGTGAGGTTAAATCTCTGTAGTAAGGAATACTTTTCCTTTGAGGTATTAATTGCCTGGCTCCTGGATGTGAAGCTGGTTTAAAGTATCTTTAGGCAATCAGCATTTGATTCAAAGAAGGGGAAATGTAATCCTGCCCTTCCTAGGATCAGAGAAGTCCTGGGCTTTGGCCAGTGCCTTTCAGTTTAATCACTCCCTGCCTGGGTTCTGGAAAATGTTGCGGTGCAGAACTTGAAAGCTTAACGGATAGATAGAATTGTATGATAACTGACAAACTGACTTTTGTTACGTAGCCTAGTAAAATGAGTAGAACATCACAAGAGTAATTACATAGTTTGTACTTTGGTCCCAGGCTTTTGTGCCTCAGTTTTTTTACATGAAGACGAACTAAGTTTATTCTTTCAAAAGGTCCTTTTTACTAAGTGTCTTTTATCTGCATTGCAGATCATTAGAATTGTCATGTACAGATGAACAGATGGGCATAAAGGCCATTATTTGACCAGTTTATTTCTTTTAAAGCATTCCCAGCAACATGTCTTGTAGACAGAGAAGTACGTGTTTATAGGGGCCATAAGAACTCTTGAGGTTCCTTTTGCCCAGCTCCTTTCTTTCCTAAAGATACTGAAACTGGGGAAATTGCCTCGTGTTAGCATAACATGGCAGCAATCTCCTCTTTTGGTGATTTAAACAACACACTTTACATCTTAACGAATTTAATCTACAAAGTGATGCACAATGTGTTGGGTTTGCATAGTTTTCTTAAGACCTCTTAGAACTGGGCAGCTCTAACACAAATAAGATTATTGTTGGGAGTAACATTGCAACTAGGAAAAAAAAAAACAACCCAGAATCTTTGGAGGAATATTAAAGGTCAACTGAACTGACAAAATAGGAAAGGAATGAATACTGAAAGGCAGGGGCATGCTAACGAGATCGAATGTCTTATCCAGGTGAAGAGACCCCACACTCCAGATGGGACTTCTTACTGTATTTTAAACACAGAGCTAACACCAGTTTGTAGTTCTCTTTGTATGACAGGAGGAATCTGTCATTTCAGTGTTCCTCCCAGCTTCCCGCACCTGCGAAGGTTCTTTGAGCGTGCACTACCCGCAGTGAGGCTGTTACTCCCTGGTGCCAGAAGGGAGTCCTGGGCAGCGGCCCCAGCCTGCGGATCCCATTTCCTCCAGCCTTAGTCCGGGTTAGGGAGTGGCTCTCCCAGGACTTCCAGTTTTTTTTTTTTTTTTTTTGTGCTCCGGTACTGGTGTTCACATGGCTCCAGTGCATTGTTTTCTTCCAGGCAATCTTGGTTAGCGCTTCAGACATCTATTTAGCATTCTGTCGTCCTGGGCTGCGTGTCCTCTCTTGTTTCTGCGCTCTCTCCACGCCCTTCCCAGTTTCCTGTTAGCCAAAGGGGATCGCTCTTTCTGAACGAAAAGTTCTCAGAGCCGAGCTGAACCTCCCGGAAAATGCTCTTCTCTTCCGTGTGCGCCGGATGGGGATGGGGGTGGGGGTGGGCCAGGAACTGAACACCGCGGAGTGGAGCTGGAAGGACCCGAACTCCCAGGCAGACGCGGGAAAGGTATGGTCCTCGCAGTGGGGCAGGGGATTGTGAGACAAACCTGGGGTGGAGGGACTTTTTTTTTATTCAGCTGGAACCATGCAAGCAGGTCCAAGTGTCTCTGGAGATCTGGGGTCTTGGTGGTGGCGAGTGTATCCTAGCGGAGTCTGGAGGAAGCTCCAGGTTCCCTTTCTTCTCCAGTGGCCTCTCTTGCCAATGCCTGACCTTCAGTGGGGTTGGCTGCAGAGATTTCCTGCCCTAATCCTCCCCTCGCACCCCCCACCCCGTCCCTTTCCATTTCGTCCATCCTGAGGACCTCAGCCCCCAGAAGGAGTTGGAGGGAGGTCGCCTCGATCCCTATGTCACCTCCAACCTCTCAACCCGTGCTGGTCATATTCTGGGTCAGGAACCATAGAACGTCTTGAGGCTGAGCGCGCAGAGGTGCAGGGACCTGCGTCCCCTGTGCCCCACAGCTCTGGAGACCTGTGGGAAGCGGACAGAGGAGCCTGGTGGGTCCCTGCCTGGCGGGTGTCAGGTCCCTGGTGACCCTTCCCCTGCGGGGAGGCTGGGGGAGCAGAACATGGCGGCAGCAGCGGGGCTCCGGGGCGCACTGGGGCAGAGCCCACCCGCTGACCGCGCCCCCTCCGGGCGGTGCTGTCTCCCCACAGGAGTCGGAGGGGATGGCCGGGGCCGGCAGCCAGCACCACCCTCCAGGCGCTGCGGGAGGAGCGGCCGCCGGGACGGGCGCCGCGGTCACCCCCGTCGCTGCCTCGGCGGGGCCGGGAGAGGATTCGTCCGACAGCGAGGCGGAGCAAGAAGGACCCCAGAAACTGATCCGCAAAGTGTCCACCTCCGGGCAGATCCGGACCAAGGTGAGCTCGGGGAGCGGGCCTGCGTGAGCTCGGAGAGCGGGAGGCGGTGGGACGAGAAGGCAGAGAGGGCGCCTGGGCGCAGGGAGCGCGCCGGGCCATCCCGAGAACGTGGGGAGCGGGACGGGGCGGGGCCTGGCCTGGGGGCGGGGCCAGACGCCTGGACCAAGGCGCTGCGGAGGATGGGATTCCCGGGCGGGCGGCAAGCGGTGGACTTCGGGGCGCTCGGCGGACACAGGCGGGGGAGCCGGGGATCGGCAGCTCAGCGGGAGCGTGGGAAAAAGCTGCAGCGCTGTTGCGAGTTCCCACTCAGGGAACTCGAAAGGAGTTCTACATATTTTCCTCCCACCAGCCTGAGCTTCAGTGAGCCCGCCACCTTCCCTTACCGTAGGCGGCAGGCCGCTCCTCTGGTGGCCCAGCCGGAGAGGTGGGTAGGAGGTGACACCCGACAGCTTTTCTGTCCCCTGCTGCCATTTGGAAGGCAACAGCCACGGGACGACGCTGGTGGTGGATGGTGCTTGCTGTTTAAGCGCACTCTGTGCAGCGCGATGTGTTCAAACCACATATCCATGGTTGTGTTAAGTAACAAAAAGTTACCTCTTTATGCTACATGGAGATTAGGGCGTTGTGTTACTCCTGTGTGTGGAGCTTGTGTTGTCGTCCTGTGAGGTGTCAAAAATTTAGTATTCATTTGACGTTGAGCATACACAAAACAAATGCTAGAGCTATTGAGACTTATATAAAGTTCATCTTAGTTTAAAAAATCTTCACAGTGAGAATCTGTTGTCAGTGAGGGACTTCAGGGAGGAATTTGAAAAGGGAACCAATGAAATCATTGGGTTTGAGTGCCCTCTTTAAAAATCAATTTATAAAAGTTAATTCATTCTACAGCTGTTTCCATGAGAATTGGACGCCTACATGGGAATAGGATTTTTACTATATGCCTGGGGATTAGTGTTTGTTGTAGCTGTTTATTTTGAAAAATACATATTCGGAAGTGCGCACAGGAATGACTGTTAAGGTGTATGTACGACAGAGTCAAGGATTTTTCAATCATTTAGTTGCACATCTTGTAGCTTACTTTAATAAAGATATTTTTTGAGTTTTACAGCATTTGCAAAAAATTAAGGATTTGGATTTTAGTATATTTTTAGACTATTAAGGCTAAATAAATAGGGACTTTCCTAACAGTGCTTTTTATCATTTGAAATACTAATTTAAAAAAGTTCATAAAGCTGGGTTAATAACAGGCAAAATGGCAGATTTAAAAAAATTGTATGCTGACAGTTTGGTGATGTGGTGCATGCTTGTAATCTCAGCTCCTGGGGAGAAGGAGGTAGGAGGATCTCTAGAGGTCACTCAGGCAAAAGCTCAAGACCCATTGAAAAGCAAACTAAAATAAAAAGGGCTGGGGATGTGGCTCAAGTGGTAAGCAAGGGACCTTAAATTCGATCCCTAATACCGGCAAAGAAAAAAAGAAGAAAAAAAGTGCTTGTTCTATATTGATATGAAATTGTCAAAATTCTGTGCATACTCATATCAAGATTTTTTTCTTCTTTTGCTTTATCTTTTTTACATTTACTTACATGTGTATACATGGTTTGTTCTACCCTTCCTCTCCCTTCCAAGCAGAACCTGTTGTACCCTCTTCTCCAATTTTTTGAAGAGAAAACATAAAAGATAATAAGAAAGACATAGAGTTTTTGCTAGTTTGGGATAAAGAGAGCTATACAGAGAGATTCCTAGTGTTACTTCCATGCACTTGTGTATTATAATCTACATTGGTTCATCTCTTCAGACCTCTTCACTATTTCCTAGTCCTCTTCCCATAGTGGTCTCTGCTAATTTAAGATTACTTTATTCGCTCCTCAACAGGGAGCACATCAACCACATTCAAGTTTTAGGTTTCCTTCCCTTTCCCTGTGTCTCCCATGGTTTCCCCTTAGTGTGTGACTCATGTCCAATAATGTTACTGCATTTGTTTTATGTCTATAACCTGCATCAGATCAAGGTTAATAGTAGAATTTATACTGTTTGAAGGAAAATTGAAATTTTGAGACAGCTCTGAATTGATTAAATAGAAAACAAATTTGTTGGGAGTACCTCTAAAAATTTGAATGTTTCATGAATCTGTGGTGGTAACTAACTTTTATTTATACTATTTGTGGCTTGGGGTAAATCATGTTTGAAGGCCAAAAGTCCATGTAAAAGCGCCAACTCTGCCACTGTAGTGTAAAGCTGCCTTAGACAATAAATACTTAAGTTACTGCGGCTATGTTCCAATAAAACAGTATTGAATGACACTGAAATTTGAATTTCATGTAATTTTCAGGTTTTAAAAGTATTATTGTTCCTTTGAAAAGTTCGTCCATTTAAAGTGTGTATAAAGCTTCTCACTTGTTGACTAAATTCAGGGTATGGCGGATGGTTGTGGCACGTGGCCTGTTTGCTAGAAGGTGGAAGGTGGTATAGTTAGATTCCAGAGCACTGCAAAATTAAGGTTCTGCTAAATACAATCAGGATTTAAAGAACCAAATAAAGCTAAATTTCAAATCCATTAAAAAAAATCTCATCTTTGTAGAACGTTTTATTTTTAGCTTGGTTTGCGTCTTTGCTTCCATTTTAATGTGAACTAAATATAGACTGGAAACTCTGACTCTCGCTACAGTAATACATGGTATAACAGCTTTCTTTCTATTCTGAATGCAAGTTAAACATGATATCCCATTATTAAAGACAAGAGACATGATAAATAATTTACCAAACCTTTACTTACAGCTTAAGCTGCATCATTTGAAAGTACCAAATTTAGAAAGCTTTTACCTAGTTTGGGGTTGTGTGTTTGCTATCCTGGTGGGAGTGGTGAAAGGTTATACAAAACCACTTTTGTAAATGACTTGGGGCACCTTTCTGTTTCCAGGGTGCAGTGTTGCACTCATTGGATTTGCTGACCTTTTCTTACTCAGGAAACATGTTTATAAGCAAAGGTATTAAAGAGAGTTTGTTTTGTATCTAAGAATAGACTTTTGAAAAAGACCATCACACACGTTAGTACTTTACAGTTTCCCTTGGCAAATTTGTTGGGTTTTGAGTATTTCACTCTGTGACTGTTTAGTTCCTAATAGCACATTTGTATTTTTGACTTGGTTAAGTGACTTAAAGTGACCAACAGTTATTATTGATACCAGCTTTAATTTAGATTTCAGTAAGTCCGTCCTTCCTGTTTTTGTTAGAAGGATATGTGGAAGACTGTGAGGCTTGTTTTATACTGAGAAAATATGATTAACTTTATGATGTTTGGAGCTGGAATCTCTAACTTCTCACAGAGCCATTGGAGTGCCAGAACTTTTTCAAGCCACCAGAATGTAATTTAGGGTATAAATTCTTTAAACATAAGCTTGCTATGCTTATTTCAGATTTTTTTTTTAACGGCGTCCGCTATGTAGCTCACATTGACCCAAAACTCCTGAGCTCAAACCATCCTCTTGCTTCAGCTTCCTGAGTAGCTGGGACTACAGGTGTGTATCACTGCACCTAGCTATTCCAGAAATGTATGTAAAAGTACCTTTTTAACTTAGTATTTTATTGTTGAGAAAGCAGATGATCTCATTTAACAGATAGGTAGAATTCGTCAAAAATTTTCAATCTCAAGCCTGGGATTGAGATTGTTCTGTTGAATAAGTGAACAAACTAGACATCAAAAGCAGTTCTGCTACCTCCTTGGGCTCCATATGCCTTGTTTCATAGACTCAGATCTTTGGGTGGCGACATTTGAATCTACACTGTGTATGCTGGCATGTGTGCTGATACCAGTGTCCTTCCTTCTTGTGGACTCTCTTCCTTTCTCCTTCTCCTTCCTCTCTCCCTATCCTCACCTTTATTCATTTGTTAAATCTGTGAGCATGTCTCTTGCCCATGTTTTTGATTTTGTAATGCCTTTTTATATTTGATGTGTGGTTCTTTTTTTTTTTTTTTTTTGGTGGTACTGGGGTTTGAACTCAGGATCTTATGCTTGCTAGGCAGGTGCTCTGCCATTTGAGCCACTCCACCAGCGCCTTTTTATATTTGAAACTTAGGTTTTGAGCCACAAGCATAAGAGTAAACATTTGAAATGTGAATTTTAGAATTAAAAATTTTATCTGAAATATACATGAATTTTAATTAAAATGAACAAAAATCATTGAGTTGTTAAAAAAAATCCTCCAAACTAATTTAGAAGAAAATGCTTCTAAGTATTTAACTAACTCTCCCAACAGGTTTTCAAAGAAAACTGTCAGCTTCTCTTCTATAAGGTGACATGATATTTTGTAAAGGTCATACAATAGTTTTAAAAAGAATCATGTGAGGTAATTTTCCGTTTGGCCTACAAGACATATTTGAGGAAAAATGTGAGTAGAATTTATTTTTAACTAGCTAAACAATGAAAACGTCAGGGTTTTTTTTTTGTGTGTGTGTGTGGGGGGGGGTCCAGTTTTCACCATCTTGACTATTTTATTTAGAAAAGAAACAGTCAGGAGTGTGTACTGAGCAGGCATGCAGTTTGAATTGGATTCTTAGTCTAAACTCCTGCAGCACTTTGAAATTCTGTGACATTGCAGTATTTGATATCCATGCAAGAAGAGACACTGTCCTGCATTTGGGAAACCCAGTGGTGAGATGTTAGAACAAGATTTCCCACACCATGAGCCCCTCAGCTCATGCATTCAAAAAATACTTATGTGTTTCAAGCACTGCTGAAGGCGCCAGGGATAGAACATAGAGCAAAGTGGACAAAACTTCTGTTCTCAGAGAGCTCCCATCTTAGTGCAGGGAGACTTTATGAGCTCATACGTATATGAAGAGCATGGCATATGAAAAGTGCTGTGGTGGAGGGGAGATAAAGCACGGTGGTAGGGGAGGTGGACTGGAAAGGGATTGAAAAGGAAACTCTTTCTTGGAGGATAATATTTGAACCGTGTGTTTTTTAGGGCATGAGCCATGTGGACAGGAAGAGCAATGTAAGC